CCTGGTGAAAGGAAGTCACTGCACTGCTTGTGCTGTGAACTGAGTCGGAGGGTGGGGTTTCATGTTCTTTGGGGCTCCCCTGAGCCTGCCTGACCGCCCTTTTCTTCCTTTCCCAGGGGAAGCCAGTGCCATTCTGGTGAAGGCTCAGGCCAAAGCAGAAGCGATCCGAGTCGTGGCAGCTGCTCTGGCACAGCAGGTGATGGAGGGGGTGGTCTCAAGGGAAGCACCTGCCTGGGGAGACCCCTTGGGAGGGCGTTTCCGCTTGGTGTCAGCTTGGAGCGGCTCTCCTAAGGCCTTGCAGCCAACTTCTGGCTAAGTGGCCACCCTGGGCTCCTTTGGAGGAAGGAGATGTGCCAGGCCCCTCCGGAGCCTAAGAATGGCCTCCCTTGTTGTCTTTCGTCTGGGCAAGAGGAGATTGAAGTGCTTGGGTTGCAAAGCAAATGGATAGGGACTTGATTTGGTCCTTCCTCATCCCTCAGAAATGGTGTCCTCTGTCACGCCAGAAGTACTGTTCTTGGGGGGACAGGGGGTGGGCGGGTGTGGAGGACTCCCTGGTCCTGAATGGGGGTCACTGTGCCCCTAAAGGAGCAGGTGTGCAGCCTGGGAGTCATTTTGGACTCACAGCTGTCCATGGAGGCGCAGGTCAATTCTGTATCCTGGGGAGCTGCTTATCAGCTCCATCTGGAACGCAGGATGAGACTCTCCGTGTCCGCGGACTGTCTGGCCAGAGTGGTGCATGCTCTGGTTATCTCTCGCTTGGACTACTGCAATGCGCTCTACGTGGGGCTCCCTTTGAAGGTGACCCGGAAACTGCAATTAATCCAGAATGCAGCAGCTAGACTGGTGACTGGGAGTGGCCACCGAGACCATATAACACCAGTCTTGAAAGACCTACATTGGCTCCCTGTACGTTTCCGAGCACAATTCAAAGTGTTGGTGCTGATTTTTAAAGCCCTAAACGGCCTTGGTCCAGTATACCTGAAGGAGCGTCTCCACCCCCATTGTTCAGCCTGGACACTGAGGTCCAGCTCCGAGGGCCTTCTGGTGGTTCCCTCACTGCGAGAAGCCAAGCTATAGGGAACCAGGCAGAGGGCCTTCTCGGTAGTGGCACCCGCCCTGTGGAACACCCTCCCACCAGATGTCAAAGAGAAAAACAACTACCAGACTTTTAGAAGACATCTGAAGGCAGCCCTGTTTAGGGAAGCTTTCAATGTTTAACAGACTACTGTATTTTAATACTTTGTTGGAAGCCGCCCAGAGTGGCTGGGGAAACCCAGCCAGATGGGCGGGGTATAAATAATAAATTCTATTCTATTCGACACCGGGACGCGGGTGGCGCTGTGGGTAAAACCTCAGCGCCTAGGACTTGCCGATTACATGGTCGGCGGTTCGAATCCCCGCGGCGGGGTGCGCTCCCGTAGTTCGGTCCCAGCGCCTGCCAACCTAGCAGTTTGAAAGCACCTTCGGGTGCAAGTAGATAAATAGGGACCGCTTACCAGCGGGAAGGTAAACGGCGTTCCGTGTGCGGCTCTGGCTCGCCAGAGTAGCTTCGTCACACTGGCCATGTGACCTGGAAGTGACTGCGGACAGCGCTGGCTCCCGGCCTGTAGAGTGAGATGAGCGCACAACCCTAGAGTCTGTCAAGACTGGCCCGTACGGGCAGGGGTACCTTTATTCTATTCGACACCAAGCAAGCTGGAGGAGGAGAGCCCCATTCTAGGACATTTCTCTCCCTCTCTTCCTCCTCCCCCCGGTCTTTCTTTCCTGCATCTTTGTACCATCTCACTTCCTCTCCTCTCTCCCTCCCAGAACGGCAACAGTGCAGCTTCTCTCTCTGTGGCTGAGCAGTACGTGGCTGCCTTCTCCAAGCTGGCAAAAGAGTCCAACACCATTCTTCTGCCATCCAGCACGGGAGACATGTCCAGCATGGTTGCCCAGGTGAGTTTGGTGTGCCAGGAGGCAGGCGGACAGATTGGGATCCGCTGGCACCAGTGGAGGGCAGGAGCTTGCAGGGGTGCAGTCCAATAAGGAAGGAGATTGGGTCAAACACCGCAAGAGCAAAAGATCCTTGCGTGCAGATGAAACAATAGCCGCTTAAGGCTTCTAAGGTTGCAAGAATTCAGCAGATTCCTTGTTGGCCAGGGGTTGGGGAGGCAGGAACAAAGGAAGTATCTGGTGGAAGGAATGCCTCACCTCGGGTCAGGAGGCTCCATTAGGCATCTTGCAGCCTGATCCCATCAGAGCTGGGCGCTTCTCACACCATATAACACCGGTCTTGAAAGACCTACATTGACTCTCAGAATGTTTCCAAGCATAATTCAACATGTTGGTGCTGATCTTTAAAGCCCTAAACGGCCTCAGTCCAGTATATCTGAAGGAGCGTCTCCACCCCGATCGTTCAGCCCGGACACTGAGGTCCAGCTCCGAGGGCCTTCTGGCGGTTCCCTCCCTGCGAGAAGCCAAGTGACAGGGAACCAGGCAGAGGGCCTTCTCGGTAGTGGCGCCCGCCCTGTGGAATGCCCTCCAACCAGATGTCAAAGGGAAGAACAACTACCAGACTTTTAGAAGACATCTGAAAGCAGCCCTATACAGGGAAGCTTTTAATGTTTAATAGGTTATTGTATTTTAATATTCTGTTGGAAGCTGCCCAGAGTGGCTGGGGAAACCAAGCCAGATGGGCGGGGTATAAATAATAAATTGTTGTTATTATTATTATTATTATTGAAGCTGGTGCCCTTCAGGAGCCCAAACTCTGCCTATGATCCAGCTGTTTAGTGGAGCAGGGGCCTTGCAGTGCTGGGAAGCAACGATTGACTTTGGGCCTGCAAGTTGAGCCTGCTTCTGATCTGACCCCCGGCATAATCGGTGTGTGGTCATCCACTCCTAGGCTCCATTTCCCCTTGGGGGGAAGGCTAGTATGGCGAGGTCCTCTTGCAGAATGCAAAACTGCCCACAGTCTGGGTTGCTGGGTAGAGTGAGGGCAGATCCTTCCATCTACTTCTGTGTTGTGTGATCCATTCCATGTGCTGTGTTGAGGGGCTCTGACCTCTCCCTCCCTCCCTCTTTTCTCTCTCCAGGCAATGGGAATCTATGGCTCCCTGAGCAAACCCCAACCCACCAAGGCAGCCTCTGTGGAAGCCACAGCTCCCCCCGCCCTCCAGGCCCCTCCTCCGCCTCCGTCCCCAAGCATAGAGTACACTGAGCAGGAGCAGCAGCCAAGCACCAGCTAACGGAGAAGCCCGCCCCCTGCCCTTGGACTCTTGTCCTTCCCCTCTTTGGATTATTTTCTAATTTGGATTTAATCATGTAATAAAAGGAGATGGCCAGGAACCAGCGTCTCCCCTTGTTCTGGGGGGGAACCTCTCTTGTCTCGGACTGGGATTTTCAACCACACGAGGATGAAGGCCCTGGGCTCATCGGCCCCAAATCCTGAGGAGGGCGCAAATAACCTGCAGAGGAATTTGGCAGGAAACTGTCCGTGCCCCATTGGTGCCCAGGAAGAGTTGGGGTGCTGTGAGGCTAGTGGTTTCGGGACAAAGGGTCTTGGTTATTGTTCGCCAGCCATTGAGGGCGAGCTCTGCATGGCAGCTGGAGCTCCTCATCACACCATGACCAGGTCCTGGCAGAGCACAGTCTGCTTGGGGAAGAGGCCTGCTGCTCACTGGCAACCCTGCTGTGCCTCTCTCCTTGGTGCCATCCAGTGGGCCACATCCTGAGTGCTCTCTGCTATAGGACCTGCCATCCACTCCCACCCAGGTTTTCTAGCCATGGTGGGGAATATCTATTGGTGTGAGCTAGCCTTGAACTCGAGGTTGGAGTGGACAAGAAGCGCCCAGTGAAAGTGTTGATGCACTGTCACAAAAGGGAAACGGGCTTCAGTCCCTGTTGGCTCAGCTGGAGGTGAAGGGAGAGGTTCAGGGACACAAGAACTTCGCAGAGTGCTGAGCTGCCTGTTGTCGCTGTTCTCAGTATCTCTGAGCCCCTCTCCTGCACTACCTTTCCATCCTACTAGGAAATTTAGAAATGCCACAACACAAACAGCCACTAAAGCAATCGGGCCACAAAGTTAAATGCAAGCTCGATCATTGAACCCAGTTTCAGTACATGGGTAGAATAAGGGGGACCTTTGATAAGCAAAAGGGACGCGGGTGGCGCTGTGGGTTAAACCACAGAGCCTAGGACTTGCAGATAAGAAGGTCGGCGGTTCGAATCCCCGTGATGGGGTGAGCTCCCGTTGCTCGGTCCCTGCTCCTGCCAACCTAGCAGTTCAAAAGCACGTCAAGTGCAAGTAGATAAATAGGTAACACTCCAGCAGGAAGGTGAACGGCGTTTCCGTGCGCTGCTCTGGTTCGCCAGAAGCGGCTTAGTCCTGCTGGCCACATTACCTGGAAGCTGTACGCCGGTTCCCTCGGCCAAGAAAGCGAGATGAGCGCCGCAACCCCAGAGTCGGTCACGACTGGACCTAATGGTCAGGGGTCCCTTTACCTTTTTTGATGAGCAAATCATCCCTGCTGCATTTGTGCTTGTCCAAAACTGCCCACTGCGGAAGGAGAAGTGGCAGGAAGAAGATCTCTGGTCACGCAGAGGGATCCCAGGTACTGGGTAAAGAGCAGCTTCTGGGATATGAACATGGAGGACCAACATGACACAAACCTGCTGCTGTCGGGTTATTTCTTTGCTGCAGCTATATCCCACCTCCCCCCCCAGGTTGCTCAAGGTGGCCCACAAATCCCCCCCCTTTTATCCTCACAGCAACAACCTGGGGGAAGATGCTGCAGAGCTGCAAAAGGTGCGGAAAAGGGCGAGGGAAATACTGCAGAGGTGGAGTGTCCTCCCATGTGGGAGAGCTTAAAAAGGTGTGCCTGTTTTTTAACTCTCCCACAGAGGGTGAGTCAGGGGCCACATGGCAGGGGCCACCTCCCGGCGCAGGAGCAGCCTGGCTCTTCCCGCCCGCGCGGGGGCGCCCTCCTGCCGCTCTGGCCCGCCTCTCGCTGGCCTCCGCTTCCGCCCTTTCCCGGAAGGGAGGCGGAAGGGCCGCCCTGGATCTCCCTCCCCGCTCCCACGCGCACCTGGCCGCCAGGTGGGGCCGCCGCAGCCCCGAACGGGCCTCCGGGGGGCCAGGCGGACGAGGAAGAGGAGGGCCCAGTCCGAGGAAGGGCGCGGCGGCGGCGGCGGCGGAGTCTGCCCCCCTCAGCAGGCAGGCAGGTGGGGGTCCCCTCCCTCCCTCCCTCCTCCCGTGGGTCCCGGTTCTGGGGGTGGGCAGAGGGGTGACCCCCCCCAGGCCCAGCCTCTTCCCCCTCGGGCCCAGGGCTGCCTGCCGGGGTCCCTTGGCCAAAGGCACCTGGCCCTCAGGATTCCCGGGGGGGCCCTTCCGCCTGTTTCTCCCGCCCTGGCCTTCCTCCGGGGGGGGCGTCTTCTCGCCCTGGAGGGCTTTGCCCTGGCAGCGAGACCCGCAGCCCGGCGGAGGCAGCTGGGAGGGGCAGCCCAAGGTCACCCCGCCGGCCCGGGGAGGGAGGGAGGGAGCCCCGGTCCCTCGCCCGCCCGGCGCCCTCAGCCGCCCCGAAGCCCTTAAGCCAGCCCCCCCCACTCGACCCTCCAGGTGTTTTGGGACTACAATTCCCAGCATCCCTGACCCCTGGTCCTGTTAGCTAGGGATGATGGGAGTCGTAGTCCCAAAACAGCTGGAGGGCCGAGTGGGGGGGGGCTGCCTTTGGCCGTTGATGTAGAGCAGGCACGTCCAACTCTCTAGAGACCACGATCTACTCCCAGTATAATAAAACTGGCAGTGATCTACCCATTGGCATTGCCCATATTTGCTGAGCTGTTTTTTAGGAGGGAGAGACCAGAGTTGTTGAACTTTTCTTATGGGGAAAGGCCACAGTGGTTGAACTTTTTTTTAGGAACAATTGCCAAGAGGTGTTGAGCATCTTTTAGTGGGGACTGTAACCTCAGTTCTTCAGCTTTTGGGGAGAAGGATTGAACAGAGCAGTTGAGCTTTTTTGGCAAAGGATTGCATAAAATCCTTTGATCGACTTGGAGCACCCCAGCCATCTACATCTCAATCGCAGTTGACCTTGTTGCGATTGCTGGCGTAGAGCAATGCATCGTTTATCTCATGTTTCACCCAGGCGATGATTTGTGTTATATTACGTCTTATGCAGGTCATAGGACGCGGGTGGCGCTGTGGGTAAAAGCCTCAGCGCCTAGGGCTTGCCGATCTAAAGGTCGGCGGTTCGAATCCCCGCGGCGGGGTGCGCTCCCGTTGCTCGGTCCCAGCGCCTGCCAACCTAGCAGTTTGAAAGCACCTCCGGGTGCAAGTAGATAAATAGGGACTGCTTACCAGCGGGAAGGTAAACGGCGTTTCCGTGTGCTGCGCTGGCTCGCCAGATGCAGCTTTGTCACGCTGGCCACATGACCCGGAAGTGTCTCCGGACAGCGCTGGCCCCCGGCCTCTTGAGTGAGATGAGCGCACAACCCTAGAGTCTGTCAAGACTGGCCCGTACGGGCAGGGGTACCTTTACCTTTACCTTTATGCAGGCCATACTGCTTGTTGCTACGAAAACACCGGTGAGACCGGTAGACTTTGAGCACCCAAGGGGTGTGAGGGGCACCCACTGCTCACCGGTCCTTTCTCCCTCCCCTCCCTGCAGGATGCAGAGAGTACCAGTGCTGCTCTTCCTCGCCTGGACCTGCTTCCTCTTCTTCTCGGCCATCGGACTCTTCACCAGCGGCTTCCTGCTCATGCGTGTGGAGCTGGCCAACCGCAGCAGCTGCTCGGACCCCCTGGCCGCCTCCCTGCCAGGGCCCAGGGCCCCCCTCGGCTCCTGCTGGCTGCCAAGGCGCTTCCCCAAAGCCGTGCTCGTCATCATCGACGCCCTCAAGTTTGAGTTTGCCCAGTACGACCCCTCCAGGCGGGAGCCGCGGCCTTACGAGAACAAGCTGGGCTTCCTGCACCAGCTGGCCAGTCTGCAGCCCCTGCATGCCCGCCTCTTCCGCTTCCGGGCCGACCCTCCCACCACCACCATGCAGCGCATCAAGGGCATCACCACCGGCTCCCTGCCCACCTTCATTGACGCAGGCAGCAACTTCGCCTCCTACGCCATCCAGGAGGACAACTTGGTCTGGCAGCTGGCGCAGAACGGTGGGTGCCTCCAGAAGCGGGCAGTGAGGGCAGGCTCTGTGCAGAATGTCTTGCCTCTCTTATTCTAGCTGTTGTGGACTAAGGGCTTTCTTCGTCTTCATTTCTTCCTTCCTTTTCCTCAGATGCACTCTTCTCCCTACTCTTTCATTTTTCTCTCGGGACTTAGCCTGTAAGTGCTAGAGACAAAATGGTTCCTTTTATGTTTCTGGTGTAGAATTGCATCATGTGCTGCTTCCTTGTAGGTTATGACTCGGGAGTTGAGAGCGGGCAGATTTATGTTTGAGGTTGGGAAGAAGTGTCTGGCAAGTTCAGATTGGCTCCACTTCGGATAGCGTTGCTTTGACATGTGGAACATGAGAGCCAGGGCCCTGGTGTCTGTGGTGTATACAGTGGTACCTCGCAAGACGAATGCCTCGCAAGACAAAAAACCCGCTAGACGAAAGGGTTTTTTGTTTTTTGAGCTGCTTCGCAAGACGATTTTCCCTATGGGCTTGCTTCGCAAGACGGAAACGTCTTGCAAGTTTGTTTCCTTTTTCTTAACACCGTTAATACAGTTGCGACTTGACTTCGAGGAGCAACTCATAGAACGCGGTGTGGTAGCCATTTTTGAGGTTTTTAAAAATTTCGGTGATTTTTGAAGCTTTTCCAAAGCTTTCCCGACACCGTGCTTCGCAAGACGAAAAAAATTGCAAGACGACAAAACTCGCGGAACGAATTAATTTCGTCTTGCGAGGCACCACTGTATTGTGATTTGGAGGCAGTAGCTAGATCTGGGAGTAGGCCGACCATCCTTCTAGGCTGGGCATATGACTTCATGGCATGTCATCCAGGCTTCTCAATTGCCACTTGCCTGGCTGCCTGTGGTGAGGGGAAATGGCCTCCAAAGCAGCTAGGCGGGGATGTTGCACAAAGGCAGCTTGTTCCCTGTTATGTTTCAGACTGACAGGTTACTCTGAAAAGGCTACTGCAGAAATACGTGGGAAAATAAATTAGTACAAAACTGACAGTGAACTAATTCTTGATGTGGTCTTATATATTCTGGGGACTTTTGCCTTTGTGGCTTGATGATGCAGGTTGGAGGAAAAGTTCAGACAGGGACCTCTTTTGTGGCTACATACACTGAGCACCAGCTCAAATCAGCAGGGAGAACTCAAGAGGTTGCGGGGGTCTGACTGTGCTGCATTTGCTACCCTACCAAGGCAGAATGTGGGTGTGAAATGTGTGGAACGGTGTCGGTCATTGTTGATTGTTTGTTTAACACATTTATAAATAGCTTAATGTTTTTAAAAGAAATTTCTTAAGTGATGTACAATATAGAAACTATAAACAATATGCTTGCTGAAGCTGACTCAACCTCAAGGAAAGCAGACTGTGGCTTTCAGTTCTTCCCATATGTATTTTTTTTTTAGAAAACTCAAACTCTTGTCAGGTGGAAACTGCACCACTGTGTTATCGGCTCAAAGGAGCTGATCTGTAGTGACTGTGATGCTGTTTCCCTGAGCTGGAGGAGAGCTGTGTGCATATCCCTCTTGGCCTTGAAGGTTCTGGTTGGGTGGCTCTGAGGATGGATTTCCTGAGCTCTCTAGAAAGGAACCAAGAGAAACGGAGCCTGGAGCTCCTGGGCTCCACTGACTAGGTTTTGGCTCCCTAACTTGGTGACCTGCCCATTTCTGTGCTCTAAACACCCCTCTCTCATTCTCGCCCCCTTGCAGGGAAAAGAGTGGTGTTCATGGGGGACGACACCTGGGACGGGCTCTTCCCCCAGGCCTTCCACCGCTCGTACTTCTTCCCTTCGTTCAACGTGAAGGATCTTCACACTGTAGATGATGGAATCCTGCAGCATTTGTATGAAACAGGTGAGCCGCTGTCCCGGGCCTGAGTTCTTGGCTCCCTTTTCATGCCAGGTTGCTGGAGGAAACAGGCGGAGCAGGCAGGGCCACTTTGCAGCCGGGTGAGAGGCCTGCTGGGAGTGGCCTGCCCTCTGTCTGCCCTACACGTTCTCCGTCCATAACCTTGAAGGGTGATGTGACCTTGGAGGCTCCAGGCTCTGGTGTGGCTCGAGTCCCCTTGTGCCAGCCAGAATCCTTGAGGGAGGTAAATTCTAAAGTGAATTGTTAAAGAGTTCTTCAAAATTGGTTTTTGCAAAAGGGGGAACACTGAACAATTAAAAGTCTGTTTTGAATGGGAAAACGCTTGTTTCAAAATGGATTGCCTTGTCTTGAATTTATGTTAGCTTTAAAAAGGGAGTAGGCTGCCTCCTCAAATTTTGTTTTTGAAACGACTTGCTTTGCACTAAGCAGGGCTCTGCAAATTGCATGAATGGAATTTCTTCACCCACAATGGAATCCTTTCCTTGTGGATGTTTTTCCAATGAGAAGCCACTCATCCTCCGCCAGCCTTTGTCCCCCCTGCCCTCTGCTGGCAGCAAAGTCTAAAAAGTCTGCTGGCTTTTTGCCTGCCTCTCATTGTCTCCTCCCTGTGTCTTCAAGGCCTGGCCCTGAGCACATCTGAAGGGGGAGGGGGAGAAATCTGCTCCTGCTCTTCCTCTCCGCCCTCAGTAAAGTGCACCAGAGAAGAAAGAAACATTGGCTGCCTCTCAGAGCGGAAGGGGCAAGTCTTCATGCTTCTCTCTCTCCCTCTCTCTGTGGTGGCGCAGTCGATGGTGGCGAGTGGGAGTTGCTGATTGCCCACTTCTTGGGCGTGGATCACTGTGGCCATAAGCATGGGCCAGACCATCCCGAAATGGCCAAGAAGCTCTCGCAGATGAATGACATGCTCAGGTGAGCTGGTTTCTCGGGTCATGTGGGTGCCCCTGGCTTCTCAGCACCAGCCCATTGTGTGCCAAGGGCTGAAGCAGGATGAGCAGCAGCTGGGCCTTCCAGAGGAACGTGGATTGTGCTGGCCAGCGCCGGGAGGGGCAGAAGTGGGAGTTCTCTTGCTTGTTTCATTCTCCTTCCTCTGCTTTGGGCTCCAGCTGCTTGGGGACCTCAAAGGTCTTTGGACGTTTGCATTATGTTAGGGGCCCCTTTGCCAACCTGGCGCCCACTAGACATTTTGGAGTGCATCAGGCCCTGCCAGCATGACTCTGCTGGGAGTTGTAGTTCAGAGCACCTGGAGGGCACCAGGTTGGTGACAGCTGTGTCAGTGTCCCTCTAAACATTAGCTTTTGAGCTCCTTGTAGAGAAGCTGTTTCGAGAGTGGTCTTGGATGAGCCTCTGATTCAGACTCTGAAGGACCCCCTGGAGGCAGTTTGAACTGGAGCCACTTGGCCAAGGCTGCCCCAACCAGGATTTGAGTCTGGCCCTCCCTGGAAGGGAAGCAGCTGGCCTTGGGCCCCAGGACCTGCAGCCTGGAAGTTAAGCCTCAGAGTTGGTTTGCTGCAGGAGAGCACCTCAGGCTGTGAGTCAGAAAGTCCCCCGTCAAACCTGCATTTGGGCTCAGGCGCCCCTGAAGGTCCTGCCTAAACAACATGGCTGGCGCCCACCCACTTTGCCGTGGGGGGCATCCGCTGGCACAGGGAGGCGGCTGAAGTCCCGTGTTGTTGATGGACAGGTCACTGGTTGACCACCTGGCGAATGACACGCTGCTCCTGGTAGCAGGGGACCACGGCATGACGGGGACCGGGGACCACGGAGGGGACAGCGAAGAGGAGGTCAACGCAGCCCTCTTTGTGTACAGCAAAGCCCAGCTGTTCCAGAGCCACCCGCCTCAGGTAAGCCAGGTGCAGGCAGGCGCTCTCTCTCTCTCTGTTGGGATCTTTCCCTTCCCACCTTTTGCATCTGGTCAGCCACTGTGAGAAAGGAGGCTGGACTAGATGGACCATCAGCCGGACCCAGCAGCCTCTAAATTACTTCTTATGTGGCTGAGAGCTTGTTACAACTGGTGCAAATAACCCCTTGGCCAGTTGCACTTTAGAAAGGAGATTGGTGCTCTTTTTCAGGCTTGTTACCTTTTAGAGCTGAAGAGTGTGGTCATGGCTGCCTGCCAGCTTCTTTCTGGCTGGGGGAGAAGGTGGGAGGCTTTTGAGAAGGCAAAAGGCTTGTGCCTCAGTGGCTTGGCTTCCATCGTGGGTGCAGGAGCCCCAGGATCAATCCCCAATGGCACCTCCAGGCCGGGATGGGAGAGGCTCCTGCCTGGAACCCTGGAGAGCCACTGCTGCCCGTCAGTGTAGACGTAACTGAGCCAGAGGGACCCAAGGGTCTGATTCTGTACCAGGCGGCTTCCTGTGCTCCTGGTGCTGCTTGCCTGCTGTGGGTGGGTGGGGTCCTGGGGGTCCCCATGAGGTGCTGTTCTCCCTGCCCTTCAGCAGCCGGACCCCTCGCTTCCTCCCTCTCTCCAGGAGCCAGAGACCGTCCCGCAGGTGAACCTGGTCCCCACGCTGGCCCTGCTGCTGGGGGTGCCGGTGCCCTACAGCAACATCGGGGAAGTGATGGCTGAGCTGTTTGCCGCAGAGGGCGGCGCTGCCTCCTCACTCCTCGCCCAGCTGGAGGCATACAGCATCAACGCCCGGCAGGTAAGAGGAGCTCGGCAGCCGGATATTGAGGAGAAAGGCTCCTTAGAGTCCAGCCTCCCCCTCCCCCTTGAGTGTTCCTGCGCTCAGTGACGGAGACGCTTGGCGTTGCAGGTCGACCGCTTCCTGCACTCCTACTCTCGGGCAGCCCAGGACATCTCGGTGGAGAAGCTGCGGCGGCTCCAGGACCTCTTCTCTGCTGCCGTGGAGGAGCACCAGCAGCTCTCCGCCCAGCCGGGGGCCCCTGCTCTGCCTCACCTGGAGCACCTCCGGGGCCGCTTCCGGCGCTATCTGCAGGAGGCGAGGGCCGTCTGCGCTGAGTCCTGGGCCCGGTTCCACCCGGCCCGCATGCTGGCTGGCTGCGCCCTGCTGACGTCTTCCTGTGTGCTGTGCTACGTTGCCTCCAGAGTGGCCTCAGGCCTGAGCTTCTCCTACCGCCGCCTCCTCCTCTACCCCGTCCTCTGGGGTGTGGTGGGGGTGGCCCTGCCCAGTCTGGCTCACCTCCTTGGCTGGGCCGCTGCGGACCTTGTCCTGCTCTCCTCCTGGGGAGCGGCGGCCTCCCAGTGCGGCTTCTTCTGGCACTGCTGGGCCAAGTGGCCGTGGAGGAGCCACGCGGCCAGCGCTTGTTCTCCCTCTGCGGGCACCAGCCTGAGGCAGAGGCTGCGGGCATCGGGGCTGGGCCTGCCCGGAGGCATTCTGCTGGCTCGCTGCGGCGCCATGCTCTCAGACAGCTTCGTGGTGGCCGAGGCGCAGGTGGCGCCCTTCCTGCTGGCCTCGCTGGTGCTGCTGCTGGTGCTGCGCCTGCACTGGGAGGGGCGGCTGGAGGGCGGCTCCCCCCCGGCCCTGCGGCTGCTGGGGCTGCTGGGCGTGGTCCTCGCCTGCGCCCGCCTCTCGGCGCTCTTCCGGCAGTGCCGCGAGGAGACCCCCTGCTGCCGCTCCTCGACGCTCCTGGCCCCGCTCTCCAGCCTGCAGGACCCGGGGGCCAAGAACTCCTGCTACCTCCTCTGCCTGGCCGTGCTGGCCCTCCTGGCCTGGGGCGTGCGGCGCTGGCTGCGCCACTACGGCAACCTCAACAGCCCCAGCGCCCCGGTGCTCTTTGTGCGCTGGGGCTTCCCGCTGCTGGCCGTCTGTGTGGGGGGCTACTGGGCCATCACCTCCGGGGCCGAGGAGGCCCTGGTCAAGCTGCACGCCTGGGTGCAGCTGGCCCTGGTGGCCTTCCCCCAGGGGATCTTCGGCCTGGTGCTGGTGGGGCTCCTGCTGGTCCTCTGGGACCCCGTGACCGTCTTTGTGCGCGACAGCCGGGAGCCGGCCGAGGCCCCCATCGTCTCGCCCAGCTCCCAGGCGGAGCTCCAGCACGTCATCCCCCAGCTCTACCGGCGCATGCAGCAGTCCCTGAAGAGCCGCCTGGACGAGGCCAAGTCGGGCGGCAGGGCCACGGTGGCCGCCTACGGGCTGGGCAGCGTCTACTCGGCTGCGCTCCTCATCTGCCTGGCCCTGCTGGGCTTCCTCTTCATGACGCTGCACAGCGAGCGGCTCAGCCTGGCCTTCCTGCTGCTCTTCCTCGAGGCCTTCGCGCTGCTCTGGATGCACGCCTGCGCCGTGGCGCTCTCCTCCTCCTCGCAGGCCGGTGAGTAAGGGCACGGCCCTGGATCTCCGCTCCTCCTGAGTCAGGGCTGTGGACAGCGTCCTCTTGCAGGAAGGGCTTCGCTCTCAGGGAAATGGCAGAAGCTCAAAATGGCCCAGCTGTTAAGGCATAATGGTGCCCTAGGAATCTGCAGGGGAGGTCCCCGGGAAGAGGGGAGCGGGAGGAGGCCTCAGAAACTGCAAAGCAAGGCAGACTAGGACCTGGGAGACCAGGGATTTCTGCTTGCGCAATGGGACCTTTCCATTGGATTTTGCATAAATGTGCAATTTACTATCAGAATTTTGAATTTTGTCTTGTTGCTATCTTCTTCAGTGGGGCATGCAAACAGCTATTCTGAATAACTCTTTTTAAAAGGTGGGGACGAGTTTATGGAACTGAGGGGAGGAGGGCGGTTGCCCCAAAACACTTGGGGACCTCTGGGAGGGGAGGGGGGAGTCTCACCAGGCAAGTGGAAATCCTTGCACTGGTGGGGTGGGTTAGTTGAACGTAATTCTGGTTCCCGCTGCGGAAGCTCTGCTGCGTTGTGTCTCCAGGGGTTCCTTGCTGGCCCTGACGGTTCTCATCCTCCCACCCCAGATCCCTTCGTGGTGCCCTGGTACGCCCTCATCGCCTGGGCTCTCGCTGCCGCCCAGTTCTTCTATGCCACAGGCCACCAGCCAGTCTTCCCAGCCATCCACTGGAACGCAGCCTTTGTCGGCTTCCAGCAGGGGCATGAAACCAACCTGCTGCCGGCGCTCCTGGTCGGGGCCAACACCTTCGCCTCCCACATCCTCTTTGCAGGTGAGTCCGCTGCCTCCAGGAAAGGCCCCAAGACTCTTTCTCTGAGCTTGCCACAGGCAGAGCGTGAATGGTGAAGGGGGGGGTCATAATCCCCCCAGGGATTGTTTAGCACAGTGGTTTCCAAAGTGGGTGGTGCTGGCGGGGGCGCTGGGGTTTCCTAAGGGGGGAGGCAAAGAGGTGTAAATGGCTACCTGACTTCAAAAAGCTGATATCCTTGGATCAAGCTCATCAGTTTCATTGAATTAATTAAACTGAATAGTTTTACTTGGATTCTGAATGAATTTGCAATTAATTGTTACTGTTTTGAGTTGTACTGTGTTATTTTCTTCCTGAGTGGACTGTGCAAAACACTATTCTGAATAATGCTTTTTATAGGCAGGGTAGCAGGTGCTGGGGCTGCGTTGATGGAACCAAGCCCCGAAAGCGTTTGGGAAGCACTGATTTAGAGGGATTGATCTTCTCGCCCCTTTCTTTTTTCCCCCCTGGGTTCCACCAGCTGGTGGTCCCCGGCATTCTCTCCAGTGACCCCTCTCTCTTCCTCCTCCTTTCCTCGAGGTAGCTGGCTGCCCTTTGCTTCTGCTTTGGCCGTTTGTCTGTGAAATGCCCACCGCCTCCAAGGGCAAGAAGTCGAAGGCAGAACCTCCAGACAGGGAGGAGCAGATGATGGAGATGAGGCTCCGGGAAGCCCCAGAGAAGTTTTCAGCAGCGCTTCTGCAGCTGGGGCTCAAGTACCTGCTTGTTCTGGGGGTTCAGGTACGTGCCTGAAACACCGGGGGAGGCCTTTTTCTGCAAGCCAGAGAGAGTAGGGAGGGAGAGGCGGCGATGGGGACTGATGGGCTGTGCATGTGAGGATACAGTGAATGAACGCCAGGAGGTTTACCTGCAGCCTGAACTCCTTTTCTTTCCCCCATAGATTCTGGCTTGTGTCTTGGCAGCGATCATCCTCAGAAGGCACCTTATGGTCTGGAAGGTGTTTGCCCCCAAGTAAGTTGGGCAAGTGTCCTGTGGCTCTGGAGCTCAGCCCCCTCCGTGTGCTGGCAGGGAAAGGGTTGGGTGTTTCAGAGCCCAGGGCTGCCGGGCAGAGTTGCAAGGCTGGATGGGGAAAGGGTGGTCTGAGTTAGAGTTCTGTCGGCCGTAGGCTGCTCTCACTCTCTCTTTTTGTATTATTTTTTATTTTAAATAAATACATAGTTAACAGACACATGCATTAATAACCACTACAGAAATCAAATAATATCAGACTTAATAACCGTACATCTCTACATATATATATATAAAATGAAACAAACAGAAGAAAAGGAAAAAGACAAAACAAAGACAGTGACAGAAACAACATAAGATTCTTCCATTCAATACTATTCAGAAAGAGAAAGCGCTGACCTGGCAGTTAACGGGGGCTGCAGGAATCGAGAGACGCATTGGCCGGCTTCAGGGTTTTTCCCACATTGTGATTTTTGCATAGCACATGCACACATCATGATTTGCAATATATAGCCAGGTCAAAAATTATGAAACCAGTATCGTGATAAGGACTTCAAAGCGGTTTTGGACGATATATCGCCTAGCCCTACCACCCAGCACAGAAATGAGTAGTTGACTTGCCCCTGAGTTAGGCCAGTTGCCCCTGTAGTGTCTTCACTAGCTGCCCCCCCCCAGTGTGCCCCTCTTCCCTCAGGGCTTAAAATTGGGGCCTCTCGCATGCAGAGCACCTCCTGTGGAGCCTTTGCGGTACTTTCCTCACCTGGGGCTTCTGTTCCGCTTCCAGGTTCCTCTTTGAAGCGCTGGGCTTCATGGTGAGCAGCCTCTTCCTCCTGTTGGGCATCGGCCTGGTGATGCGGGTGGACTGCGCCGTCAGCCTGTGGTTCAAGCAGCTCATCCTTGCTCAGTCCAGGTAGCACGAGAGGAGGAAGAGGGACCTTCTGGCAGTGCCCCCCCCCGCACAACCGCAGAGAGAGCCTTGGGGAGATTCTCGCACTGCCCACAACTCAGTGGGCTGAGCCATCGTTCTCTCTGGTCTCCCCCACCTGGGTTTTCCTGCGGGGCTTGGAGCTCCATTTGTCAGTGACAGAGCGGGGATGTGTGTGTGTGAAAGATGAGTCTTCAGCTTGGTGGCGGTTGCTGGGTCTTTTGTTTTGCAGAAAGAGCCTTCCCACGCTCCAAAGAGATGCCCAGATCTCACTTGCCCCTCACAGCTTGTGGGTCGCCAGTGAATCACTGGGGAGTGGCCCTTTTGGTCTGTGAGTGGGGGGAAGAAATGCAGAGGGAGCTGCCCCTTGTTTCCAAAGAGAACCCTTACGGGTGTGTACGGCTGAGATCCAGATCTGTGGGCATCGCTCTTGCGGGCGACTTACTTGCTTCTCCTTGGTTCCTTCATGAGTCTGGAGTCTGAGCAGCTGCACGCGGGGGTGGGGGGTGGGGAAAGGCTGTGGGCACCTCTTGGGAATGGCAGAAAGGGAAATCCATGCCCCGAGCTGGAGAGGCCAGATTCTGGACCAGGAAAAAGCACCCTCCGAGCTGACTGCCAACGGATTCTTTGCCAACCCGAGGAAGGTCTTGCTTGGACTGCTCTTTGAGGACTAAATGCTGCTGCTGTTTCTAACTGGTGGCTGGTGGCACCTTCAGAAAGGCTTGATTGGTCTGTGGTTTTTGCTCAAAGCCCTGTCGGTGCAGAAAAGGTTCATTCTCCTTCAAGAACCAAGGCTGCAGCAGGAACAACACCCTCCTTGGTTGCAGGCACCTGGGTGGCCCCCAGCACTGGCCAGAAGTTCTTTCGGGGCCCAACGTTTTGAAGAACCTCAACTTTTTGGTGCTGAAGCCTAAGTCTCATTTCGTCGCTGAGACTTGGTTCTGTTTTGAGTTCCAGATTTCTGAATCTGGCCTTTTGAAGAAGAAAAAATTGGAGTTCCAGTTCTCCACAAGGTGAAATTTGGCATGGCCGCTTGGCAGCCTCTGGCTGGGTGTTCTGGTAGTTTCCTGCGCTGGCTTTGCAACAAAGGAAGCTGCTCAGTCCATCCCAGGCAGTGTCGTCTGCTCAGACATACACGCTTTCCCGGCCTCAGGTAGATCATCCTTCCTCATCACTTCTGCCCGAGTCTGCTACCTGAAGATCCCACACCTACTGCATGCAAAGCATGTGCCTGTCCCACTGAGCCACGGCCTGCCTCCCCGCCCCTGCTTTTATGCCTGCAGTAGTTTTCTGTGTAACTCAGCGCCACTTCCGCATGGTGCCAGAAGCCCACCTCCCTGCTTCTCCTCCTTTGGGGACAGACCCCTTGTTCTGGGCCTCACTGGCAGCCCAAAGGTCCCTTCCTTGAAGGGAAAGGCCTGGGGAGAGCCATTTCCAGCCACGATTAGCCTGAACCTGCTGTGTGCTCAGGAGGAGGACGCAAGAGAGGCCCTCTTTATCCTTGGCTACATCTCTTCCTCCCTTTGGGCTTGTTAGCAAAGGAGTCATCAAATGAATCTGCTCTGACTTTCTGTTTGTTGCTTCAGAATCCATGTTCTGTCAAGGACTTGGCAGGCTGGATTCCTGCTCTGCCGCTTGGTCTCCCTTGAGAAGCTTGTTGGGTCTTGCTTTGGCTAAAACAGAGATGGGTTGCCTTTCAAAGACGTGGGTTGGTGGGGCTGCTTTCAGAGGATCTGCACGGGAAGAGGGGAGTTATATCCGGAGTCCCATTTTGAGTTTTCTGCAATGCCTTCAAGGAGTCAGCTTTGCATTGAGCGTGTGAGGCTGCTCAAGCGGGGACCACTTGGCCTGCTGGATGCTGCTTCCTTGTGATGGATGGATGGATGGATGGTGTAGCAGCAGCCTCAGCCCAGGGAACTCATCACAGTGGATGTGGAATGGACAGGCGCCTGGAAGCAGCTGAGCAGTTGTACCACTGAACGCTGCAAGATTTGGCCGTGCTAAGACATCCCTGATCTTTGTTTTGCTCTGCCTTACCATACCTCGGAAAACGGAGGACGCAACTCCCAATTGTCAACACCTTCCTCTGATGTCTGTTATCATTGTCTGTTTTCTCGGCTGCTTCAGGGTATTTGAGCCACGGGAGTGACCCTAATGCTGCTATGCTTCTGTGTTCTTGTGTCATGGAAGATACGTTCATTTTTATGGCAAGCTTACACAGTGCACAGGGAACGACTTCCATGAGGTGGTTGCAAAGGCTTGTGGTGGACATGCTTTATGTTGGGGCTGCTGCAGGCAAACAGGTGGGGCTGGTGGGGGGCCTGACCTTCTCCAGCCCCCTCAAACTCTATGCATTCTCTCTGGCTTTTCTTGCCCAGTAAAGCAATGCTAGCGAGACTTTCAGCCTTGCCTGCCAGCCCAGGTGTGTTGGCTGCTTCTCCCTCTCTACACAGAATTGGTGCCTTAAAAATCCTCATTAGCTGAAGCTTCCCTGAGACCTGGGATCTGGTCCTGAGAACCTGAGAGGCCAAGCCAGTACATTTTTCAGCCCCAAACTCAGCACAATCCAAGAGGTTTCTTCCTGGCATCTCCTGCCGTTTTGCAGATGTCTGGGGCTTAGCTTCAAATTTCACATGCCTGCTTCCTTGCAATCCCTGATCAGTCAGTATTCTTAAGTGTCCCCTAAGTAGTCCCAGTTTGTCTGTTCTGAGCACTTGCTCTGAAGTTTAGTGCCCACCATTTCCATGCAGGGGCAGATCCAGGCTCATTAAACATGAATTGCTGCTCTCGTCAGCATCCTTCTCCATCCATGATTTCACAGCTGTTTGGTTTGAAATTACTCAAGGTTAGCACTGCTGGCTTTTGCTTAAAAAGAACAGAAGTCGTACAAAGAGTTTCAGTGGTTACTCGTTACGATACACTACCTCCAGGATTGGGGCAGTAAATGCCTCTGAATGCCACTTGCTGGGGCATCACAATAGGCAAGGGCTCTAGATGGGCTCCCTTTGGCCTGATCTGGCGGCCAGGTTTTCCTTACATTGCACTGAAAGAGCCAGAATTTCTACAGGTGACGGCTTGCTTCATCTACTGTTAGAGGGAACTGTGAGCTGCAAGTTGGAGAAACCAGCTGATGAGATCTTGACACCCAGTCTCCTAAGGGGCAGTTGCTTTTACTATGAAGTATTATGTCAGAAAATCTGGGCTTCAAAATCCGAAGTGCTGCTTTTCAAATGGGAAGGAATTACATTCAGACATTTGAAACCATCCGTCAGGGCCTGTGTTCTTTCTTGGGCTTATAAAAGCAAAAGAGAAATACTTCTGTGTTTTTATATCCTGGATTTTCTGATGTTTGTTTCATAGTATATAGTTAATTCTCCCTTAGAGGACCTGGGGGCTTTCTACCTGCAGTTCTGCTGCTACATGCCACAATACTTGTTCCTTCTCTGTAAAATGCTCTGGTGTATTTTAGTGTTAAGGAAGCACCCACAAATAGCCAACCCTGTGGGTTTTGTCCTCCCCACAGATATGTACAAATCTCACTTAGCAGGTTGCCAGGAGCTTCTGTGGCTCAGACCAGGGACATCTCTCGTTCTGAGCTGGAGGTGGGCTTATTCCTGCCCATCCTGCACATGGTCACTTTACTTATAGATTCCTAGCAGGAGCCATCCATACTAGAGTTCTCAGATCTGGAAGGGTAGCAGAAGACTGAGAGTAGTTACAAACCCTCCAGTGCCTTTATTTGTCCCGCTCCTGCCTCTGAGGGAGACCAGACCATGGTCCGTAGTCTCTCCCCACTGGAACCATTATTGCCTTGGGGAAGTGTTTTCGCCTTATGTGCCTCTCTATCCTGACGTGCAAAACTGGGTATACCCTGGCCTACCTCTTAGGGTATGTTTTATGGGAAGACCAAGAAAAGGAGTGGCTTTGCATAGAATAACTCTGCAGCTTCTTTTTTGTTTCTGCAATATGAAACCAAAACCCACGAGCAAGTAGTTCTGAGTTGGTCCTTTTATGCTGAATAGTCATCCTGTTAGCTTCCTTTGGGGAGGGTCAAAAGCAGGTGTTGAAAGTTTCTTTTTTTAAGAAAAGGGTTTTCGGTGCACAAGGTTGAAAGGGGAGACGTGTGCCAGGGCTGGCTCTAAAACTGCTGTAAATAAAATGTCTGATCCCAAACGATGGAAAATTGCCTCTTTGTTGAAGTAAACAAAGATCTGTTCCTGGGTGGGGAGGAAGGAAGGAAGTGTGCGCATTCTAGTGATGAAAGAGGGGCCGATGAATGGGGGGGGCTGCAAGTGAGCCTGAGACTAAACCGTGTTGGAGAATGGGGTGCTCAGGGGCCAAAGGAAGGAACATGCTGGGGTGGGAAAGGCAGTAAGTTTTATTTGCCCCCCGGAGTCTGCAACAACTGTCTTATTACTTGTAAGTCAAGGCACCTCTCAAAGTAGGCAGTGCCATCTTCTGCCAGCGTTCCCTTTTTGCAACCAGCTCTGAACCTTGTTGCTCCTGCAGTCCTTACTTTAGGGTGGGTTGCCTGACCAGTCAGTAGCTGGACTCCAGCTCCTACCATCTTCTAATTGTTGCCAATGCTGGATGCCCCAAAAAGGGAAGGCCACGCTTCCCACTCCTGCTGTGGGCGGTGTGTGGTGCTGCAGGTGCTGACCACATCAAGAGTGGGGTGGATCCCTCCCAAACTTAGGCCTGAAATATCTGAAAGATCACCTCCTTCTCTGCAGACACCCTCTTGAGCATTCAGATAAACCAAGAGGGCTACCTTGGCAGTTCCACCATCCTGAGGAGTTCAGGGAGTGGCAGCTTCTAAGCTGCAGGATCCCCACAGAGGTCCATCTTGCACCTTAATTGTATGGTTTCTGTCGCCTGAGGAAGATGTACCACTTTAGTCTGGCCTTGACACCTGTACATAGAGATATCTCACCCTCTTCTCTTGACTGTAATTGGTTTGATCTGATTTAATTTGTTTCTATATTGCTGCAACTGGGACGTGGGTGGTGCCTAGGACTTGCCGATCAGAAGGTCGGCGGTATGAATCCCAGCTCCTGTTCCTCAGTCCCAGCTCCTGCCCACCTAGCAGTTCGAAAGCACGTCAAAGTGCAAGTAGATAAATAAGTACCACTCTGGCAGGAAGGTAGACGGCGTTTCCGTGCGCTGCTCTGGTTCACCAGAAGTGGCTTAGTCATGCTGGCCACATGACCCAGAAGCTGTACGCTGACTCCCTCGGCCAATAAAGCGAGATGAGCGCCGCAACCCCAGAGTCGGTCATGACTGGACCTAATGGTCAGGGGTCCCTTATATTGCTGCAACCAGCCCTAGGACTTCATGGTGAAGGTGGGTAAGAAATTATGTTCTTGGTATGTGTGTAAAACTGTAGGGGCTGGGGAAACCAGATGTGTGGGGTATAAATAATAAATTCTTATTATAAAAGATAATAAAAGGGAAAGCCCTTCTGCCTCAGAACAAAGCAACACGTGGGGAGAGCTCCACTGCTGCTTGCAGATCCTGTTTGTGGGATTCCCATAATGGGCATCTGGTTGGCTGCTGGGAGAAGAGGATTCTGGGCTAAGCAGGTTCCCTTTGGCCTGATTCTGCTTCAGGGTTCTTCCGGTGTTCTCACAGCAGGTATAGGACTGAGAACATTGGAAAAGTCCTGAAGCTGCATCAGAATCTTAGCCCAGAATCCTGTGGCCAGCTTCTATGCGAGGATCTTTCTGTGCTGTTTAGTTTGAGCTGGGACTCGTCAACAGGATATTTCTTAGAAAGGTGAGGGAGTTTTGCTTAATGCTGATCTCTCATCACCCTCCGTCTGGGTTTCTGGCTTAGAACCTCCACCAAAAAATCTGCATTTCCCTGCTGTTCGTTCAGCATCTGGACTGACAGCAGCTCTCTGGGGGACATTTCTCCCATTCCTGCAAGCTGAGGTGCGAGTGCCGGACTGCTGGGACCCGGGAGGCCAGGGTTCAAATCCTGCCACTTGGCCATGGAGCTCACCGGGTGAACTTGGGCCAGCCACTGCCTCTCAGCCTCACATACCCCACAGGGCAGTTTTGGGGGTTAAAGGGGGAGGTTGGAGAATCATGCGCACCACTTTGAGCTCTTTGGGAGAAAAGAGGGGAATAAAATGAAAATGACACGAGGGCCCCAGAAGTGGGGCTGCTGGGGATCGAACCGGCGGCGCCTCGGCAGCCGCGCATCGAGACAGCAGGCGGCCTTCGAGACTTCGGATCGTCCTGCTCTTCGAGAGCTTTATGGGCCGTCTCGGGCGCCGTAGCCGTCCCGCCGTCCCTGCTCAATTTTGCCGCCCGCGCTTGAACGTCACGGCAACCCGTCCGCCCGCCCAATGGGAGCCGCCAGCGCGCTGAGCGCGGCCAATAGAAACAGCGGGGTGGGGCCTGTTTCCATGGCGGCGACGGCGGCGAGGCCTTGCTCCATGGCTGGCGGCGGGAGCTGCTTGGACCTCTGGCGGGGCGAGAACGACGGGCTGGCGCGGCGCTGGCGGACGGTACCTCTTCCCGGCGGCCTCCCTTGAGCAACGCCCGATGAGGGCGAAGGAAAAGCGGCTGCTCAGCTACGGCAGCCGGGGGCCCTTCAGGAGCCTGGGACTACAATTCCCATCAGGCCCCGCGAGCGCAGCCTCGGCCCCGCACCATAGACTTCCTGGCCGGGGCTGATGGGAGTTGTAGTCCAAGAACACCTGGAAGCGGAGCCGAGGGAGCGAGCCGCTCTCAGCTGCTGGGCACGAGCCGGGGCTCCTCCTGGACTCGGGGCCATAAGCCATTTCTGGGGGGTGGCGGCAGCCCCCCTCAAGCCCGGCGCTTCAGTCCCTTCTCCGTGTTTTGATCATAATATTGGCTGTTACTGAAACGCCACAAACACAAAATAAGTTGATTGTTATTACGGAAACCCTTTTTTAAAAAAGAAATGTTTACATTTAATTTATTGTATTGTTATTTTCATTTTTAATACTCTTATTAAATTCCTGCATTGCAGGGGGTTGGACTAGATGACCCTTGGGGTCCCTCCCAACTCTACGATTCTATTAATTCTGCATATGGTTTAGAAAACAATGAAACAAACACCATGGAAGAGAAATTGAGAAATATAGCATTAGCTGATAAAACTGAATATTTTATCTGTAACCTGTATTGAGTCCCCATCAGGAAAAAGGGTGGTTATGTATAACTAAATGATAATGATAATAATAATATGCCTCAAGGTGGTTTGTAATCATACAGTTAAAATGTATGAGGAGCAGGCCCAATGGCCATTTAGGAAAATGGCTTTTGTAGATTCATGCCAGCCTGCATGCAAAGTCCACCCTATTACTCCCACTCCCATTTTAAACTACATTATTTTATGTTACCCAGCTGGAGCATTCCATCAGCAATGACATCCCTATGGAAGTCTCTCACAGGCGTGAGAACATACTGATAATGAGATTTGTGGCGGTGATGTTAGGCTGCCTTGCCTGCAGTTAGGCCCTCGCATACAAGCTCTGGCTTAAACCTGAAGGAGATACATATATTAATTAAAGCATTTTTGCCCCACGGTTGTGCCAAAATGACTCTCAGGCTGGAGTAGTATCAGTAATAATAGACAGCCCTTGGGCTTACAGAAGAAAAGGTGCCTGGTACAGTGTCTCTATAGTGGTCCAGCTAGTTCTGTGTGAGATCTAACAAGTACAGTCGTACCTTGGCTCCCGAATGCCTTGGGAATCAAACGTTCCGGCTCCCAAACGATCGAAAACCCTAAGTGAGTGTTCCGGTTTTCAAACTTTTTTTGGAAGCTGAACGTCCGGCGTGGCTTCTGCTATTGTTTCCAGCGTGCCTGCACAATCGGAAACCAATCGGAAGCCGCGCCTTGGTTTCCAAATGTTTCAGAAGTTGAATGAATTTCCGGAACGGATTCTGGTAGACTTCCGAGGTATGACTGTACTACCGTACTTTTGAGAGAGCCCCATCTTCTTGTAAAGTGTCTTTGCTCCTGTCCTAGAATCTGTTCATGGCTGTTGTTTCTGACCTCCTCTGGACCTTCAAGCTCCCTCCTCCTCTTTTCTCGGCAGGTGACAAGTTCTCCAGGTCCTGACAGTTCAGTGACGCAAACGGCTCACGAGTGCCAGCTCGCCTTCACTAAGCTGCTTCAGAAGATCCAAGGTAGCAGTTCAGGAAAAAAAACACACCTTTATTGGTAGGGCCGGAAAATGGGCAGTAGCCAGGCCCCCTCTGTGGCACAAGTGTGGGGCAGCTCATGGTGAAGTTCTGGGCTGACGTCTCCCTGATGAAACTGAAGCCAGCAGGGCTTGGGGGCCATATGGGGTTAAGCCTGGTTTCCTTCTGCATGTTTTATTTAATAATAATAATAATAATAATAATAATAATTTATTTTATATCCCGCCCTTCCCGGTTCAGGAAACCGGGCTCAGGGCGGCTAACAACAAATTTAAAACACTTAATTGATGATACAAAAAAAGAGCATAAAATACGGTATAAAGCGTAAATAACAATAAAATCAAAAATCAAAATCCTGCTTGGGCCAGCGAGTAGACCAGGGGAGAACCAGCTGTGGAATCCCTGAGCGTGCAATCTTCACAAAAAGGGGAGGGGGAGGGAAGGAAGGGGAACAAAAGATCAGGCCAGGTTCAAATTGAAAGCCAGGCGGAATAGTTCTGTCTTACAGGCCCTGCGGAAGGAAGTTAAATCCTGCAGGGCCCTGGTCTCATGGGACAGAGCATTCCACCAGGTCGGAGCCATCACTGAGAAGGCCCTGGCCCTGGTGGATAATCTAACTTCCTTAGGGCCCGGGACCTCTAAACTATGATTATTCATGGACCTTAGGGTCCTCTGCAGGGATACCAGGAGAGGCGGTCCCGTAAGTATGAGGGCCCTAAGCCACAAAGGGCTTTAAAGGTCAAAACCAGCACCTTAAACCTGACCCAATACTTCACCGGGAGCCAGTGCAGCTGGTAAAGCACTGGGGTGAATATTCAATTTGTATCCTGCACCTTCCTCTAAAGAACCCCCAGGCAATTCTAAAACAATACAATTAAAACTTCTAAAAAATACAACCCAATGAATAGCAGTGTTCTGTAAAACAATTTAAAAAGCAACCACCTACAGTAGTGCCCCGCAAGACGAACGCCTCGCAAGACAAAAAACTCGCTAGAC